CAGCCCATCATACCCCGTCAGCCCATCATACCCCGTCAGCCCATCGTACCCTGTCAGCCCATCGTACCCTGCCAGCCCATCATACCCCGTCAGCCCATCATACCCCAACAGCCCATCTTACCCTGCCAGCCCATCGTGCCCTGTATGCACGACTCACCGGCACTGTCCTCCTTAAACATCACAGGGCTGCATTATTCCCTGCCCTTCCCTCCTCCAGGCAATCAGGAGATCCTCCTTTCACTTCCTCCTGTCTCATCCCAGGGACCTTCTTTACACACAGCTGTAAATTCGGCCTCAGAATGCCTAGCATTCCAAGGGCCTCAAATCTCTGCTATCTCTGTGCATGGAGTTGGACCCCACCAAACAGGCTAGGCTTGTCAGCCGCCTCATGGCTCTATTCCTCTCTCTCCCTGCAACTTTCCACTAACTTACTCAGAGCACCACACCTTTGTTCATTTGTTCGACACAGACAGGCGCTGGGTGACTGTTATTCTCCGAGGCCAAGATGGACAAATGAATGATTGCGGAGTGATGGAACTCGTATGGTAGAAGCTTTGACTATGATGTGAGACGCCAGATCCAGGCTGAGAACAGGGAGGGAATCCAGGAAGGGTTCCTGAAGGAAGCTCCACATACATCAAGATCTGTTGCAGTCTACTGGCACAGGGGTGGTAGGGAGAAAAGGAGAGAGAAGATAGAGGCTGGACACAACAGGGGGAGGAAGGGAGGGAGGGAGGGAGGAAAGGGAAAGTCATTCAGGCTTAAGGCCAAATTCCTACTCCTGGTTCTACCTAGGTACTCTATTCTTCCTTAAGAAGAACAATCACAGAAAAACAGAGGGTCAGGCCAGAGGGCCTCCTGGGAGCTCATCAGATTCAGTTCTGCCACTTTGCACATGAAAAAGTAAGGCCCACAAATGGAGACAGAACCTACTAGCTCAGGCACAGTGCTGGTACCAGGCCTCAGGCCCCTAAACTCCCCAACCAGTGCTCTTGCCATCTGTTGTTAGTCAAGTATGACTCATTGTGACCCTATGAACAACAGATCTGAGCCCTGTCCTCTCCTGTGCCGTCCTCATCATTTGACACACTCGAACCCATTGCTGCAGTCACTGTGTCAATCTACCTGGTTCAGGGGCTTCCTCACCTTAGCCATCCCTCCACCTTTTCAAAAACAATGTCCCTCTCCAAGGAATAATGTCTCCTAGCAACATGCTCAAAGTATGTGAGAAAAAGCTTCATCATCTTTGCCTCCAAGGAGCACTCTGGCTGCACCTTCTCCAGGACATATCTGTTTGTTCTTTTGCCAGTCCCCGGATTATTCAATGCTCTTCTTCAACACCACAGCTCAAAGGCATCAAGTCTTCTGTCATTTTATTTATCGGTCTAGCTCTCAGATAAATAACAAGTGATTAAAAAGACCATTGTCTGAATCAAGTGCACCTTAGTCCCCAGACTAACATCATTGCTTCTCAGTCATTTAAAGAGATGCTTGACTGCAGACTTTCCTAGTGCCAAACGTCTCCTGATCTCCTAACTTCTGGTATCAAGTGCATGCCAACTTGCCATTTAGATAATTCAACATCCTTTTTCACTGGATGCAGTGACAGAGAACATCAAACACCGTCAGTCTGTGGGGTCTCGGGGCTCCAGGTTCTAGATTATACGGGGGTCAGTGAGTTTAGGTGCAGTGTGAGAAATCATGTTGTTGTTAAGTGCTATCAAGCTGACTATAGGACAGTGATATTATAGGACAGAATATAACTGCCTCTTAGGGTTTCCTCGGCTGAAGTCTCTGCTCCAGGGGAGCAGCTGGGGTGTTCAAACTGCTGACCTTTTGATTAGGACCACACTATTGTGTGATGATGTTCAGTGCATTTTACCTCGTAAGCAACCATATATATATATATAACAGAACAATATATTCCTTGGTCCTGGGCCATGGCAATTGTGGCCCACAGTCCTCCGGCTGGGACCTAACAGAGACAGGATTCTGGACAGTTGATTAAGTCCCAAGGTAGTGCAAACAGTTGACGTGCTCACCCACTAACTGGAAGGTTAGAGGTTTGGTTCCACCAAGAGATACCTTAGAAGAAAGTTTTGACAGTCTATTTCACAAATATGGATTGAGGCTCAATGTCAAGAAGACAAAGATTCTCACCACTGGACCAATTGGCAGCATCAGGATGGACGGTGAAGAGATTGAGATTGTACACAGCTTTAGTTTGCTTG